TGGCTAGTCGGATTTGAAAATGTCTAGATGTTTTATAAAACGACAGATTGTCGAATGTTTAAGATTATCCTTTGTTTGACATTCCGCTAGGTAAGGAGTTTCAGTCTTATAAAACACTGCTGATTTTTGACATGAACATTTTCATTTTTGTGGATAAAAACTGTATAAATGAAAATTGTTCAAATGCAGAAAATGAAAAATAATTCGAGAGACGCTAAAATGGTGGTTCCCACCTTATCGAGACTGAGGCCCACAAGGGTAAACTCGTAGCGTAACAAAAACGAGAAATGATTTAACTTGGAACGAAATACCGAAAGCCGATAGCATGTTGAATTTTTTGGTTTGTGAAGCATTGGCATTACTTAGGTTAAACCATGTGATGATTTTCACAAGCCTTGATTTTTAAAACCATTCTATATCGCCTTTTGATTAGGGTTTCAAAAATTGTTCGAGCAATTTATTCAATAATAGTTGGTCCCTTTACCTCTTAAGCCTGCTCTTGTAAAATATTTGAGCTTCTACATTCACCTATTTATATTCTATTAATAAAGGACAGACGGATGAGTATTGCAACTATGTTAAAAGAAATAAATTTGCTTTCAGTTCAGAATTATGTTCAGTACATGACTGATATTTATTTATAAAATAAAAATGACATAGTACCATCGCAGCAGATCTATTAGAAAAAATTCAATATAATTCAAAATATCACAACTAAAATATAAGAAGCCAATCAGACTTTTATGTATGGCAAGCCATCACTAAAAGTTCCCAAAATACAATTTTTATTAAAGGTTTAAAAAATTTAATAGACTGCCTACAGAAATAAAAAAAAACAATAAATGTATTCAAAAGTAACCTCAAACAATACTTGATAAATAAACAGAACGGATATACTTTTTTGTGATAACTCTTTAAACCTGCCCTTTTTAAGTATTTCCCTTAATTTATTGTTATTTTACCCCTCGTTTTATCCGCATTTATTATAGATTATTTGTTTTGAGATCATGTACTTTATTTTAAAAAATTACTTGATGTTATATTAATACTACTTACTATGTTTAAATTATTAATTAATAGTTCTGCGATGATAGGTTATAGCAACTTATAGCCACAAAACTATTTTTGTGTTAAAGTAGATCCATAGAGAGCAATGTAATTTACAAAGGCCTTCTTTCAACATACAAATAAATGACAACTTCATAATTAAAATGAAAAACAACAAAATACCTCGGTATCATAATTGATCCAAATTTGAAATTGGCATTATATCCTACCTCTCTTTTATATATTTTCTATATGAGATATTTATTATTTGCAATAAATATCAAAAGAAGTATACATTTTTAAATAATTTGACATTTAAGAGCCATTCACATATCACAGTTGACATCTTGATACTTGACAGGCACAGCCAAGCATTATTTTGATTTTGCCAAATAAAATGGCCGGTTAATTATTCTATAGAGTTGCGACAATGAAATTTGATGAAGGTGTTTTTGTGGCTAGGGCGAAATAGTAGTACGCTTAATAGCACCACCATAAAGAAGTCATTTTTAAGAAACTGCTTATATATTTTTCATAAATTGGCAGGCTTGGCGACTAATTTCGAATGAAAATAGCCTCCAAAATGGCTATATGGTTGCAAGTATGAATGTCGCAACCCGCCTTAGAAATTTCACCTTTACTATCAACAGCTGTTGTTTGACAGGTCGTTAGAGAATGTTTACAATTTATGGAATGTAAAGAATGTTATGAATTTTGACTTAGAAATAATTGAAATTCCTAAAATTGTCACATAAGAAATGCATAGGCGGATTTTAAGAAAATTGTTATTAAAGTAGTAGTAGGATGAACCAAAAATTCTGAAAATCAATAGGGTTCTAAGTTAGAAGTAATTATTCAAGAAAATCAAAACCGCAAGTCAATCAAAACTTTCGTTCTAGAGTTATCGTGCCGGCATACATACATACAGACGACCAGACGAAAATTTTATTTTGGATTTTCGGACTCAGAATGATCAGAAACATGAAAAAAAGTTTTAAAAAACGGGGGTCGGAAAATTTTTTCGTCTGCACGAATGCAATACTAAGTCCCCATAGGAAGGGCCTCAGTAATAAAAAATATCAACTGATAAAGAATAAACTACATGTATAATGTGTTACTCCGCGGTAATTGATAAATCTAAAGGGAAGTGTAATCACTACTGTAAAGAAAAAGTTATAAAACACAGTGCAGAATAGGCCAAAAACGTGTAACTGACCAAATCGTCTAAATCACAAAAAAGAAAATTGAAAGCTTTGCGGGTTTATGTAGCAGTTCCAAAATATGACAAGGGTCTGCTTGATCCAAGCTGTGTTAGAAGCAATTATTGATGTACGAAGTAGAGTATACCAGGTAACTGAACATTATTGAACATTTCTAGGTACGTCAAACTTAAATCTATTCATCACAACAGAAAATACTAGCATTTTAAGAGAAAATATATCTAAGGTTTTTCAATTTAGGGAACAAGGGTTTAAATATAATACATTTCAATGCTGTACAGACAAATGTCTTTGTTTCAAGACATAGGGAAAATGTTAAGACTAGGTGGCAGTTCAGTGGTTCCTGTTTTAATAAATAAAATATGTTTTATTGGTTATTTTAAGTTGTATTATTTAAGTGTTTTTTTAAATAACATATTTATTTGTTATTCAGTTTAATTTGTTTTGTTTATTAAAAAAATATGTAAAATATTCAAGGGTAATACAACGAGAAATTGATAATTAGGCTATTTTTATTGGATCTAAATTTTAAGTGTATTTGATATGAATTGGTCGAAACATAATTTTGTCAATAATAATAATCTGATTAAAGTCCCGAGAGTTTTAGCTCGAGGACTTTACTTTGAATATTAATAACAAAATTATGTAGAGACAAATTGCAAAATAAATATACAATGAAACACCTTATAAAAACAACTTTTATTTTCAGTTCTTTTTGAAACTCCGCGACATAGTTTGTACTCTGAAAATTAATATTTGAGTTGCCCTTAAATATTACACCTATAATCAAGTATACGAGTTGCTGTCAACATAAGTAAGTATCAAGTCTATTTATTTGATTGGTCCTAACGATAACGTAAATTACGATGTGATTGCTTAAAATGTCAAAGTTGACAGGCGAGGGAATTAATCGTTATATTATGTTTTAATTCACATGGTGACCCATTAAATCCATAAATGAAAAATTTGATTGCCCAAACATTTAAATAAAATTCGTCGTATTTTACAAAATGACTAAAACATTTTATTCGTCAAAATGTCTAGACATACATTTTTTACAAGGAAAGTTTGGAAAAATTGCAAAATATAATTCTTTAGAGCAGATGGATCTTATTGCATATTTTAACATTTAATGTTTAATAATTCCATTACACGTTTTAGACCAGGCCGAACTTTTTATAAAGAATAGAACTAGCAATAACAAAGTTTTCTATTTGTTTCCAACTGAAGTAGACGCACTGTATTTTTATTTCTTTGAAACATTTTTTGGGGTTAAGAAAAATATATTAATTGGTATAAAAACATTTCGTTAGTGGACACACGACTGTGTGCCTTTTTTATCAAATAAATTTTTAAGGCTACTTCCCCATTTTTCCTTTCAGAAATCTTTCCATTTCAAACCGACGACATAAAAATCCCAGTTCGAACATTTCTCATTACTTTCGATCTCAGATCGGCTTTTTCCATTTACAAGCTACCCTCTGATCGCTACGCATAAAGCTGGTTATGGCCCGCATGTCTCCTGGCTAGTTGTTCCGAACAGAATGGTACAGAAGAAGAACATTCTAATTCGAAAAAACGCAAAATCGATATTGGTAGTCAATCGAAATCTCGGAAGGCTAAAATTCAATGAGTAAAGATGGAAATCTATTTTGGTGTAGGCACCTACACTGAGAAAACTTTGTTTTTTCTTTTGTGGGTATTAGTTGTATGTTTACGTTTTTATTTAGGCATTAACAAAACTTGGCACAGCAGACATATTTTTTTTAAATCTGAACAGTAACTATACGAGCTCAAAAGAGTTAATCCTTTTAAATCATCTTTTTAGGCCTGTAGTATCCAGGATCTGTATGACCCCGATATTGTCACGGGCGTGAAGTCTTCCTTCGTGTGTTCCTGCAATTCTCCGGTTCTCTTCTTTCACGTTCGATATCTTCAAATCTTTGTAAATATTATCATTTCTATAATTCCATGGTGCCTCTACAGTACCTCGAAACGTTTTGTTCTGAAAGACTCGAATTTTGTCAAGCTGGATTCCAGAGAACCAGACTAGTTTTAAATCTGTTTAAACAACAATAAATAACACAGACCAACAAACTAAAAAATAATTGTTAGAGCCGGAAATCCAAGAACTGCTGATTCTAAAACTGCCAGCAGATTTTTTCTATCAGCTCTAGATTTTGAGATACATAAATTAGTCTTTAAAGTTCAAAATAGAAATTTCTTAATCAAAATTAGAATCTAATTAGCCAAATATATGCCTGGAATTGTCCGTGAAGCAACCCCCCTATACTTGGTTAACTGGCATTACATAATCGTATGCACTTATTACTATTTTATACTTGGAATTGCCTATGATCCGAATCTTCCTATACTTGCTAAACCCCCACTTATTAATCTCAGAAACATAGTACCTTCTGTCTACCTTTATCTTCCTTGATTTAGTATAATACTGAGTTTTTGCAAGTAAAGTTGTGCTATCATTTTGTGTAAATTTTTGATTTTTTATAGTGTTAAAACTAAAACAATGGCATACACAAGCAGACTTAGCTGTGAAAACCATACAGATGTTTTTTGTTATGTATGTGACGAATACACTTTGAAAGAAAGTAGAAAAACTATTTCTGACTTTGTGAAAAGGGTGTATCTTACCTATTTTGGCGATCATTTGGGAGATCAGGATAAATCTTGGGTTCCACATGTCGTGTGTAAAACATTTGCGACAGTGGAAAGATGAAGTGCCTAAAGTTAGGTGTACCAATTGTTAAGAGGGAACCACGAAACTATTATTGCTATTTTTGTCTCGTTAATATTAAAGACATGAATATGAACAATATACATAAATGGACATATTCTGATATAGATTCTACAAGAAGACATGTACTGCACTTGAAAGAAATGCCCATTCCATCCTTCAGCAGTCTTCCTGAACTCCTGGAAGATGATACAGAAATATCAACGTCTGATGAAGTTCAAAGAATTCAATCAGAAAACGACAGTGAATTTGAAGCAGATTTAACAACTCCTCAGCGTTTTAATCAACAAGAACTGAACGATCTCATAGAGATCTAAACCTTTCAAAGGAGGCTGCTAAATTACTTGCATCCAGATTAAAAAAAATAACTTTCTTTATCCAGGTACTAATATTACATTTTTTCGATAAGGATCTTCTACCTATTCTCACTCGGAAAAATAACCTGGTATTCTGTAACGATATAAAAGGACTCTTAGAAAAAATGGGTGTGTCAGAATACAGTCCAGGCGATCGGAGCCTTTTTAAAACGTAGTTTAAAATGTGTCCTTTTACATAATGATAACAAAAATGGCTCAATTCCTATTGGCTATTCCTCTACCATGAAAGAGGAATATGAAACAATAGCACTAGTTTTAAAAAAAATTAAATACGAAGAACTTCAGTGGGCAATTGGTGTTCCTCCTTGGACAGAAAAGTGGATACACAAAATACCCCCGTTTTTATTCTTTGGGACATCAGAGCTAAAAATCAGCACTGGGTTAATATAAATTGGCCTTTAAGAGATGTTATGGTTCAAAGAAAACAAAACGTAGTCAACGAACCTTTGATTACGAGAGGATAAATCTTACTATCACCCTTGCATATCAAGTTGAGGCTTATGAAGCGATTTGTGAAAGCTTTAAATCGAGATCAAAATTGTTTTGGGTACTTGTCACGTAAGTTTCCTATGATTAGGAAGGAAAAAGTAAATGCTGGCATATTTGATGATCCTTGAAAAAGGCCACTTATTAAAGATCCACATTTTACCACATTAATAAATGTTTGGTGTTCATTTGTTCAAGTAGTATTGAAATATGATGGCTATTTTGGATTTTTCACCCAAAAATTACCCAGGAACTTTAAAAAAAATCGCAGGCACCATAATGTCTGTTGACTTGTGAATTAATCATACATATGTATATTCACCCAAACAGCCAATGTATTTTTTTATATATTTGAGACGTCTAGATTCAAATATGAACAGATCCACTTTTTGAATGATGGCGCTCTTATGCTGTATTACTAGTTATCCGTAAAAACGATATACAATAATTTAACTAAAAAATTTTGAGTCAGACGCCAAATCGGTTATATCCAGATTGAAATTGGTAGCTACGGCGGACAAATCCTATTGTAGTTAAAAACGGATAAATTCTCTTGTTATTGTCGTTGAAAACATTTCGTCACTGGAAAAATCCAATTCTGAAATATTTTATTAATAAATAATCAGCCTAGTGCATTTCATAGGGTAAAGACGTATTAAAACTAAATATACTTGTAGAAACACCACCAAATCCAAAAAAGAAGTAAACAAATTCAAGAGTGAAAAATGTGAGTTTTAATTATTTTTTTTTACCAACTTTTAAGAAAAAAATATTGTTTGTGTTGATTTAAGAAACAATATTTTTAAACTTTGACACGCATGTACAAAAATATATATATATGCCAACACATTAGCAACTTTTATCAATATACAACCGTAAAAGCCTCCAATGTTGTAATTTTACTCCAGCAAAGAGAAGTGCTGCCAAGAGGTCTGCTTGTTACAATATTGCCGAATAAAAGATGTAAAGCGACGTCGCTCAAAAAGTGACAATTCGAAAAAAACTCGCAATGTAACTTTACAATAATTTATTATAAGAATGTTAACAGACTATATAGTGCCAGTTTGTCGGCCTAAGTTTCTAAGAGCATTTAACGTGACAAAACTATATTCCTAGATGAACCCGAATGCTTTAGGTCGCAAATTCGTGGGATAATCTCATCGCCTTCCACTGCGACTCGAATGTTTTAAAAGTTTATCTGAAATTCTAAAAATACGCAGCAAAACAAAAAAACGTCATGGCATATATAAAAAGTTTGTACCAGGCAGTTTTACAATAATGAAAATACTCAACAAGTTGCTAAGGAATGCTACTATCGACAAATGTTAAATAAGAATAATAAAATAGTTTGGGTTTTAAAGTCCCACAAAATGATGTCCGTTGTAGATGTTTGGAGTTTATTGAAACTCTTAAAATATTTGACGATGCGTTGCACAAATAACTTAATGACATTATTTTATGAATGCCAAAAAGATGTACCATTTCTGAAAATTCCACACCAACGGGCTTAATATAAACGTCAGCTTTACGTTTATAATTTTGGCATAGTAGACTCCAAGTCAAGCCCTTTGACCTAACAATGTGTTTTCATATACTTAAAAAGCATCAGATTTACAAAAGGCATCGAATTCAATTGCATCTGTAATTTTTCATAGATTGCAGCAACCTAATTCAGACGGAATGAATACTCTACGATTTCATTACTATGGTTATAGCTGTTAAATGGATGAAAAGAAGCTTTGGCAAAAGAACTATAAAATTTAGAACTAGTGTTTCCAGTCATTTGCACAAATTTAAAAAGAAAATTAAAAAAAAAACGGAAAATAGATAAAACCTCATGAGTACACTGATATATTTAAAGAATCGGGTAGCGTGTTAGAGATTGTGGACACGATTAAACATAATTTAATTAGATGAGCGCTAATTCTCAAAATATTAAATGTGAAAGGACAATCATTTCAAGATCCTCAACGAATAATTATATTTTGGTACAGGTTCAACCGTATTACAAACACCTTATCAACGTTAGTAAATATTTATGAAAGAAAGTAAAACCAGTTTTTGTGTTTCCCTTGAATAAGTTTTTAGTAAATCTACAGGTTATGATTAAACGTTAGTTTTCTTAAAGGTAATTAAAAAAAGTTTTGTTAAATTTCAGAACGGGATATATCCAAGTATTTTCTTAAAAAAACGGCTATTTGTGAAATTCTATTATCCAAAGTATAAAAAAAGCAGGGCCTATCCTACCCATTATAATTTTGACTCTTTTTTGCGGTTTTCTTTTTTTCTAAAATTGAATCTGTTCATATTTATATGTACACGTCTGGTTTAAAGTTCTATCCTTTTTTTATACGTTCCTTCCCAGGTATTTTACTATATCGCAGTGTGGTATTTTCTCATTATTTCTGGTTATTGGTAATTATTGTTCCTTTAATTTTTAGGTAAAGCTAATAAATGACGATAGGCTTTCATTTGTTCTTGTTCTTCACGTCTTGTTCCATTCAGTTATATGTCTGTTGATGTTTAACTACAGTTACTTTGTTTTTGTGTACCTATTACTAGGATAGCTTGCATGGTAGCAATCTTCACATGTTGTTTGTGGTATATTAGAAGTATGCAACAGGTAAAGCACAGGTTCTAATTAATACGCTACCTTGTGGTACACCTGCATCCTGTTTGACTTGACATCCCGACCAGTATTATAAGATTTTAAAATCTCAGTATATTGGTTTGGTAATATTTTCTCCTATTTGTTAATTAGTCTTTCATGCCAGACTCGGCCGAGTGCCTGAGCTACATCAAAAATGATTGCTGAATATATTTGCTTTTTCCAGGCTTCTTCAATGCTGTCTGTTATGTGTTGAATTTGGTTAATTATTTAATACTTGTTCCTAAACTCAAACTGATGCCTAGAAACTAGTTTTTTTTGCAATATATTAGGTGTTAGTCGCTTCAGCAATAGAATAGTTCAGACATAAGTGGAAATGGCAAAATAGGTCTGTATTATAATGCTCCATTTGGGGGTTTAAAACCTTTGGCAATCATTATTATCTCGGCTATTTTCATGCATCTGGTATATGTTTTAATCAAAATGCCGACATCATTGGTTTAGATAAACAATGCTCTTCTAGGCAGCTTCTTAAGAATTTCTCCGGTTAAAAAGTCGTAGCCCAGGGCTTTTTTGGATTTATGTTGTTCTTAATTGAATCCGATACTCATTTCATTGTTATTGGATTGATGTCTGAATATTCACCTTCATACGATAGTTAGTCCTTTACGATATGATTTTTTTTTCTGAAAAGTTAAAGAAATTAATAAACCATTTATCACTTCGTTTTATCAATAAGTCAATAATACTCTCAACATAATTACACAAGATAAAACAATCATATGCTGTAAAGACACCACAGGGCTAAATCATTCGATGGCGTTATATCCCTCTCTTTAATGACAACTTCAGCTCAGATCTGGGAATGGACTAGGAAGATCATAAATGAAAGTTACATAAAAAATCTAATCTTTCACATCCATACTTCTTAATTAAAAGAAGCTTGGGTCGTAATTTTTAAGGAAAGCACTCCTATTATTAGTCTAACCGCTATATTAATTTTAATTTTCAGAGGTTTAAAAGTAGATCGAGACATAAAGCACGCCTTTCTAAAAAATTGAACCACCAGTATTTTAAAATAGATGAACGTTTTAATCGATCTTAATTTATTTGAACCCTAATCTCGCTCCTTGAGCCAGCGGCGCGTACATTTAAATTTTCCAAATGGGATAATTAGTTGAAAGTTTTGTAATGATTTGATACAATGAGAATGAAAGGTGAATTAAGACATAAAACGACAGGGTGGGCGCTCGTCCTAAATTTGCAAACCACAAGACAGTCAACGCTTCAATTTGATACGTAATCATTGGTGGAGCATTAATATTTTAAAAGGTTTACTGTTTGGAGCTATAGAGTATGAGGTTTATTTTTCAAACTGTATTTATACTTCAAACTACTGATCAAAATATCGGTTGAAGTTAATCTCGAATTCGTTAAAATGGTCACAGAAAAGCCCATAATAAACATTTTTGGAAGTTACTAATATCTGTAGTCAAAATGCGTACTAAATAATCAAAATGAAAGTATTGTTATCTACGAGGTATCTGTATCTGTAACGCGTGGAGGGTGGGTTAATCCAAGACACTTAGGCCTTAATAGGCCCAAGTTAATAGGCGCCGCCTACCTCGTGAGCCAAGCTTCAGATTTGATGTAGTTGACACCGTTACTTCTCTTATAACGGCCGGTGTTAATATTAATAAACTCACAAGGTTTGAAGGGACTCGTTGATTAAAATGCGGCATGGAGCTCAAAGAATTTATTTTCAATCCAGAGTTCATAAATACAACTAAAATATATAATCGCTATCACAAATAAGATACGTTATCGACCGATATAAAAAATAAAT